ATTCATTAACAGAAAATCAGAAAAAGGAAACACAAAAGGGGGCTAACAAAAAATAACAGCCCACAAGAAAGTCAGATCGGAAGTAACAATGTAAGCACCAACCAATTGCATAAGCAACCAGGCGCCAAACATCAACGTAGGGTTACAAATGATAACGAAAAAAAAATTCTTAAAATATACTTAAATATGATATCTTCCCTGAAGATGAAGTTATTAAAACTTTAAGACAACTTCAAGAACAAAGTAATTACTGGAATATACAACGTGTTCGAGTATACTAGAATAATAATCGTCGCAACAAAAAAAAAAGTTTCTCCTAATATGTAAACTATAACAACAACGGTATACAGTAGGCTTATATTATTTAGAGTGATATTTTAAATTATCTTATTCTAAAAGGTTCACATATCAATATTATTTTAAAACAGAATCCTACAGTAATGGTAAATCGCAAAATTATATTTGACCTTCAAGAATCCTAAACTGTTTTTAATCTGAATAGGTTTTATTTACAAAACGATTTGGGTAATCCATTATATTCCAATGACGTCTCACGCCAAATATATTTTTTTATTAATAAAGAAAAAAAAAAAAAAAGATAAAAATAAGGATTTGTCCTGGAAAAAAGTTAGCGATGATTTCATTTTGCTACGGCATTATTAATTGAACTAACTTTACATTAATAATACTGTAGTATTTGTTATTAGAATCATTTATTTTTGTTTGATATTTGAATTTGTATATAGCTTCAATGTAAATAATGATAGTGTAAATAATATCAGAGTTTATTAAACTTTTTGATACCATCTTTATATGGTTCAATTTGGTATCTCCGCTCTTCAAAGAATCGATTTATTTATGTTTAGTTAGATTATTGTTAAGGTCATATCTGTTCAAATTTTGGGATTTTGATTTGAGTAAAAACTTTGTGAAATAGATATTTATGTTGATCACAGGTAATTAAATTTAATGCTATTGCTATCGCCAAATAAAAATAAATCAACATCTTAATTTTCAACAGACGATGGTAACCATAAAAAATCTTCACAGTTATCATTATTACATGCAGACAATTTTCAGTCATTCGTGAAGATTGAGCTAATACGATGAAAGACACGCACATATTAATGCTGCAGAACTTTGCTTAATATATAATCGCGAAGATCCTTCACGATTAGAAACATCAATCCATTATCCGAAATAACACCATGAGCATGCTCAAATAATGCGCAGTATTTAAAATAATGTGTTATTTCGAGAATTTACATACATAGTTTGACAGCTTTGGTTTTTACTGTCTTTTCGAATAACTGCAATATATGTCATTTATGATAAACCTGAACATTAGCTCTTTAGGTTCAGAACACAAATAGTACTATGGCATTTTGGAATCTACAAATAGTCACGAATTGGTTTAAATAATTTCCAATAACTGCAGCAGTATGCTGCCTAAAAAATCTCTTTCTTAGCGATAATAATTGTCAAGAATCACAAATATAGCAGTGTGGGGATTTAAATTCGTGTTGCCAGTATTAGGCTAGATCACAAGTATCAAGACCGAGTAATACGATTGCATTTTATGATTAATAAAATTGTCTTAATTGAACTTGAACCGATTAATTATATAACAAGTTAGCTAGTTATAACCGATAATAAACTCATTAATACTTCTAATTACAATTTGTAACTTGTAAAGCTTATTTCTATTACTATATTTATTAAGTCTTTCTACAAATTTTGTTAATATTTATAATAATATTCTAAAAATAAACTATTTAGTAAGAATTTATTGATTTAAAAAAAAAAATCTTTAGAAAATACTTCATAAGATTGTCATATAAAAAAGATTATTTTAAAGAAATATTAAATAGCTTTTATATAATGTAAACTCTCATATATCAAATAAATATCAAAATAATTAATTTAAAATATAGTTAAATAAAGAAATAAATACTTTAGCAATAATGCAAAGTTTAGGGAGAAATTTTTTTATTTTTTAAATCATATGATATCGCAGATCATAGAACATATTCGGTGACCGCTATATCAAAATTTTAGTACATATGTGCGAACTCTGCATATTGCTATTGTTTCACAATGACAATATGCAGGTTATTTCGCATGATTTACTGATTATTCGTAAAAGAGCAATTAGCTATTTTTGATTAAAAAATTTGGCTATTGATTATTTAGCTAAGCTGGTCCTAGAGTTTACTTTATGCGAACATTTTGAGACCAACACCGAGTCTGTTCCAGACAAAATCCAAATGTGGGAAATGCCGTCCCTGTATACTATTTGTATCAATTATGTAATTAAGAAATTGAAAAAGTGCTCATGCAATATCTGTTATCGTTCTAAATTATGTGTTATTATATTGATTTCAGTATAATAGATCGATTTTAAAGCATCTT